ACCACTACTACTACTACTACTACTACTGCTGCTGCTACTACTAGTGCTACTACTTCTGCTACTTCTCTTACTATTACTACGACTACGGATATTGCGGCGACTATTACAACGACGACTACGATTATTGTTACTACGGTTACTACGACTACTTCTTCTATGTTTACCACTACTTCGACTGCGACTTCCATTGCTTCTACTACTACCACTACTACGACTACTACTCGTATTTTATTACGGCTACGACTAAAACTGCGACTACCACCGCTACGAATTCTACAACGACGGCTACGACGTCTACTACTACCACTACGACTACGCTTACGACCAGTAGTACTACTACTATTACTACCATTACTATTACTACTACGACTACTATTACTACTACTACCAGTACTACTACTACTACTACTATCACTTCTACTACTACTACTACTACCACTACTACGACTACTACTACTACTACCTCTACTACTACGACTACTACTATTATTACTACTACTACTACTCCTACTATGACTACTACGACTACTACTACTACTACTACAACTACTACTACTACTACTTCTACTACTACTACTACTACTACTACTACCACTACTACTACTACTACTATTACTACTACTATCACTACTACGACTACTGCTACTACTACTACTACTACTACTACTACTACTACTACTCTTATTACTACTACTACTACTACTACTACTACTAATAATTTTACTAATACTACTACTTCTACTACTACTACAACTACGACGGCTACGACTACTAGTTTTATTCCTACTACTACATTGCTACCATGACGACTACCATTACTACTACGCCTGCGATTGCGATTGCTGCTACCATTATTATTTTCATTTCTACTTATACGGCTATTGTTGTTCCCTCTTACTATCCCTTCCCCTTTTAACTACTACACTCCATGCACCGCACATCCGTCTTTAGTTCATCCGTACATGCGAGTTGCAGGGGGAAGTTTATCATCATCCTTTACTTCGGAATTTCATTCTCCTCACCGTGTTTTTTTTTCCTGGGGCCTTTCGGTGTAGGTCCATGAAAGAAAAATCCAATACCTCTTTGTGATTGGAACGAAGTGCTTTCATTGACTGGTCCTACGTGGTGAGAGCATTGCTTCTGCTATTGCAACATTACTTGATTGTGAGAGAATTCCGGGGTGGGCCTACAGGGATGTCGCAACGGTCGGACCATGCCTAAAGAATTGGCGGCCGATCCTTTCCAAGAGGACCACCGCCCCCGCCCTCTTCGCTCCTTTGCGCCACCGGCACGATTCGTGGATTGCATGCGGTTGGCTTCCAGGAGGGACCCCTGGCACACCTCGGGCGACGAGATGTATGCGCATCCGCTGCCGCAGGACTGGCCCCCCATCCTGGGCCCAGGAGCGGTGAAGTTGTCGCCCTGTCTTGGCCACGAGGGCGTATGCACCCCTCCTGGGCCCTTGGCATCGATCGGACGTGTGCATTTTTCCTTCGGCGAGGACAATTGAGGAGCATCCTTGATCATCTGGCGAAAAAACCTCGCACGAAACCAACAAAAAACGCAGGGAGTGGACGTCCAAGCGATGGCGAGGGCCCAGGATGGACCAGTTCTCGGGCAGTGGATATGTGTAGATCATGTCTCCCTGACACTTCGAAGGAGAAAACATTACATAAACATGAACTTGCGAAGGTCCGCGCGGATTTCTTGGATCGACGCTGGGCCCCCCTGGCGGCGCCTCCGGCGCCGCCCCTGACGCGCTGCGCGCGCCAGGGAGGCAGGGGAGGTTCAGCGCCGATGCAGTAAATCCGCGCGGATTTCCGAAAGTTACTGTTTCTGTCGTGTCTGTAGGGGGCCACATGCGAACCCTGCCCCTACCCCCCACGATTTCTGAGGGGGAGGGTGGGGTTCACTTCGCTCGGGAGGTCCCGAATGAAGTGAACCCCACCCTCCCCCTCAGAAATCGTGGGGGGTAGGGGCAGGGTTCGCATGTGGCCCCCTGGTTTGCTTCATCCAGTACTTTCTGAATGTGGTCTCCGGACGGCCAGGCGCGCGCCGCGGCACCCACCGGCGGCACGGAACCGGCCTCTTCGGGCAAGCGTCTGTGGACGCCGGGATGCGCGGCCAAAAGTCCGCTGTTCGTCGCGCCCGCCTCGTGGAGACCACCTGTCCGATCTTCCCCATCCCCTTGTCTAGACCTCCAGCGTTCCCCGCGTGGGGCGGAGGAGGCAGCAAGGGAGGGCCAGGACGAGGAGGAGGAGGACGACGACGACCAGGACAGCGAGGAGCTAGGGAGGGAGAGGAGCGGGGAGCAAGGAGCAAGGAGGAGGAGTAGGAGGAGGAGCGAGGAGTAGCGAGGAGGAGGAGGAGGGGAAGAGAGGAGGAGAGGAGGAGGAGCAGGAGGAGGAGGAGGAGGAGCAGCAGGAGGAGGAGGAGAGAAGAGCGAGGAGGAGAAAAGGACAGGAACGAGGAGGAGGAGGAGGAGGCGGAGGAGGAGGTGGAGGAAGAGAATGCGCGAGGAGGATGAAAGGGAGGAGGAGGGAGGAGGTGGAGGAAGGGTCTGGAGGAGGGGCGAGGCGCCACTCCTCCTGACCTCTCGTGGAACTTCCACAATTCCGCAGAACCCCAGAACCCAAGAGAGGCCCAAGAGCACATGGAGCGACGCCACGAGCAAGTCTGCCCCTCCCGCTCCTTCTCTTCACCCTCCCTCTCCTCCTCGTGTTGCGCCTCTTCATGGTGACGGTGATGGTAATGGTGATGATGGTGATGCTAGTGATTATGTTGATCACGACGATGATGGTGACGAAGGTGAGGACGGAGGAGCGGGCGGAGGCAATCACGAGCTCCTGCTCCTCACCCTTCCGGATCCTCCTCGTCCTCACCATCATCCTGGCCCTCCTCACCCTCCATGCCTCCTCTACCTCCATCCTGCCATCCTGCCCCATCTCCCCCCCATCTCTCCTCCCCCTTACGCTCCCTCCCCCCCTTCCCTCCGCCCCTCCTTCCCCTCCCCTCCGTCCCCCGCCTCGCTCCACATACCTCCGCCCCCTCCTTGTCGCATCCTCTTTCTCCTCCCCTCGCATTCCCCCTCCTCGCTCCACCTACCTCTGCCCCCTCCTCCTTCCCTCACCCATCCCCATCCATATATCCTCCACCCCCAGTCCCGCTCACCTCCGACCTTTCCTCCAATCATCACCATCATCACCATCATCAATCTCATCCTCATCCTCCTCCTCATCACCACCACCATCAACATCTTGCTCAACATCAGCATAATCAACATCATCAACCTCATCATCATCCTCATCCTTCGCCTCATCATCATCATGTCCATCAGCATCATCATTATCGACAGCATCATCATCATCGTCATCACCATCATCAGCAGCAGCATCATCAGGATCACCAGTAGCATCAGCATCGTCCATCATCAATCGCATCAGCAGCAACAGCAGCAGCATCATCATCATCTCCGTCATCTCCCGCGAGCCCGGAGGCGCGATCTACGGGGGCTGCGGGATAGCACCTCGCGCGACGGCCGCGCGGGGCGGCGATGGCCGTGGCCGCCGAGGAGGCGCTGCCACCGGATGAGCTCGCAGGCCTCCTGCCCCGGAGGAGGAGAAGGACGAGGAAGAGGAGGAGGAGGAGGAGGAGGAGGAGGAGGAAGGGGAAGGAGAAGGAGGAGGAGGAGCAGGACGACGACGAGGACGCGAGGACGACGAGGAGAGGAGGAGGTGTAGGAGGAGCAAGAGGACGACGAGAAGGACGACGACGACGACGAGGACGACGAGGATGACGAGGACGAGGAGGAGAAGAGGAGGAGGAGGAGGAAGACGACGACGAACGACAATGACGACGACAACGACGACGACGACGACGCAGACGGGCTCAGCTCATCACTTCACACTTCAATCAGCAGCGCCGGCACTGCTGAGTGCCGCCCCTGTCCAACCCCGTCTCGTCTTCTCTCCCTCCAGCAATTTTTCGGCCACGCGCAGAGGGGGGTAGGGGGAGGGGGGAAGGCTTCTTAGAAGCACCCCTACTCCTTAGAAGACGCGGGCCTTTTCTATAGACGTAAGGCCGGCGCCTTCTAAGAAGCAGCCTGTTTCTAAGAAGCCCTCCACCCTCCCCCCACCCCCCTGTGCGCGCCGCCAAATGTTCTGGAGGAGGCGGAGGAGCGGGGATTTCGAGCCTTCTGTTGGCGCGCGCGTCGTTCGCGCGCGCCTGGAGTTGCGCGCACTCGGGCGGGGGGGGGGACGGAGGACCTCGGCCCCAGAGCGCCCGAGCCTTGGAGCAGCACGCCCGCGCGAATGGCAGCGGAAGACAAGACTGAGAGATTGAGACCCTGTGGCTGCCGATCCTTTTTCCCTTGCCCCCATACCTCGCTTCCGTCCATCTTGCCCCTCTCCCCCTCCCCCCTCTGTGCAGTGCTGCCTGGCTGGGGTTGGATGTGAAGAAGGCGGAGGAGCAGCAGTTGCAGGAGCAGCAGAAGCAGGAGGGAGCAGAGGGGGGCACAGAGGGCAAGGAGGAAGAAGAGGAGGAAGAGGAAAAGGAGGAGAAGGAGGAGGAGGAAGAGGAGGACAAAGGAGGCACATTGAGGAGAAGGAGGAGGAGGAGGACGACGAAGAGGAGGAGGAGGGAGGAGGACGAGGAGGAGGAGGAGGAGGAGGAGGAGGAGGAGGAGGAGGGAGGAGGAGAAGAGGAAGCGGAGGAGGAGGGAGGAGGGAGGAGGGAGGAGGGAGGAGGGAGGAGGGAGGAGGAAGGAAGGAGGAGGAGGAGGAGGAGGAGGAGGAGCAGGAGGAGCAGGAGGAGCACGAGGAGGAGCAGGCTGAGGAGGGAGACAGGAGGAGGGGAAGGGGAAAGAGCACCTCCTCGAAACCCGTCGAGGAGGCGGCGCCGCCGCGGCAGGACACCCGCCGTGCGGCAAGAGGGCCGCGGGCCCGCGGGCGGGGGACGCGCCCGACGGCGTGCCTGGCGCCTGCGGGACTGGCGACGCGGAGGCACCCGGGGGAGGGGGGCCCCCCCTCCTCTTCCTCCTCCGCCTCCTCCTTTTCCTCCTCTCCTCTCTTTCCTCCCCTCCTCCTCCTCCTCCTATTCCTCCTCTTCCCTCCCCCTCCTCTACAATAACTCAATCTGAGTACTACTCTCCCTCTTCCCCTGATGACGGTTTGAAAGTGCTCGACCCCCCCCGAGTATTGTTTGTTTACACAGGTTTCCCCGGAGTTGGGTTTTCGCTTGCATTTGTTTCAAAATGCTGCTCTCGCTGCGGCGATGGCCTCATTTCCGTGCTTCCGCTCGTTCCGAATCGTGCTCCCGCTGCGGCGGTTGCCTCATTTCCGCGCTTCCGCTCGTTTCGACTCGTGCTCCCACTGCAGCGTTGGCGTCATTTCCCGTGCCATGCCACGGCATGCAATGCAATGCTAGGTTGATGTTACGCTTTGCGGTGCTCTTCTACGCCATGCCATGCCGTGTTCTGCAATGCATCGCGTACCTTTTCGGGATCATTGCCCTGCTCGACATCCGACTGTGAGAGTAGAGAGGGGATCTACGCCATGGTAAGGGATGGGAGGGAGGGGTAGGATATCAGATATGACGCGAGCGCACCTAGCTTGTCCTCCTCCCCCTCCTCTTCCTCCTTCTTTTCCTCTTGTCTCCTTTTCCTCCTCCTCCTCCTCCTGCGCCTACTCCGCCCTCAGCCCACCACGGCTCGGCCTCTTCGTGCCAAAGGTATACGAAAACTCGGGCAGCCAAGGACGGCGACGATCAGCAGACGGAGCGACAAGGAGTGCCGAACGTCAATTCGAACATACAGGACATGCCACATGCGAAGGTACTGTGGCCGATATTCCAAGATTACCTTCGGAACATCGAGAGGGTGGTGCAGATCCCAGGACCAGCCCCGAGGGGCCCCGCAGAGCGGTGGCTGGGCAGCCAGATCAAGTAATTGGAAGGCGTTGCCTTTGGACATGTGGGCTCTACTCCGACGGCTGGTACTACGGCAGTGGTTGGAAGTCTCTAGCCAAATATGGTGGGCACTATTTGCGACGGCGGTTACTACGGCAGTGGTTGGAAGTCTCTTTCTCTCTCTCTCTCTCTCCCTCACAGGATATAGTTGTTGGAAGTCCCTCCTCGAACATGGACGGTACGACGACGGCTTGTATTTCCCTTGATCATACGAGTCTTCGCTCCCGTCTAGTGTTCTGCTCGTCAGTTCTGCCAGGCGCTAGGCCTGAGTTCACCGAGGTGTAGTGTCGCAAGATATCCTGCAGCAAACGTCTGAGGTCACGACGTACGCTACTGGTCCACTGCTGGGAGCCACCCAAGGGGAGGGGTCGGGGTCGTGGCCGTCGTGGTCGTGGGAAAGGGGTGACGGGAACGGGTAAGTGCGTCAACTCGCACCCTGGACACACCGCCCCAACCACTCCTCCTGCTACCCCTCCTTCTTCTGCCGAGCCACCGACCGAGAGTGGCGAAGCCCGCCCTATCCAGATTTGTCCGAGACGGTGCGGATGTGTGAGATTGGCCCCCTGCTCTGGGAACCCACCCTGACTGCGCGCCCACTGCGGGTGGGCGCCCGGCATGGGGCCGCGCGAGTGGGGCCCGACAGGCCACCTGCGTTGTCGAGCGGCGCGCAGCTGCCAAATCAGCGCGCAGAGTTCGACGATCTAGCGGTGCGATCAATTTTCAGAATTCCACCGCGATGTCTTTCTTGTCTTGTCCACTCCAGCGCCAGAGAGGGGAGAGAGCAGAAAGTGCCGCACCCGTGCCCCGGCGGGGGACGCTCGGCGGCGCCACCGTAGGCGCCGCCCCGCCCTACGCTTCTCTCCGTGCCACGCGGCCCTGTTTGATGGCGAAGGTGGCGCCAGTGCGCCACCCAGGCCACGGTACCTCCCATGATCCACTAGTCGTCGAGACCGCGTCATACTTATCCTCCTCCTCCTCCGCTTCCCCCCTCCTCTGACCCTCCTCCTCCTCCCTGGAAGTCTCCTGACCTCTTTTAGAGTGTTTGGGACCTTTCGGGGGACCAGAGGACAATGGAGATCCATAGTAGTTATGCCTCTCGCCCTCCTCCTCCTTGCCTCCTCCTGCTCCTCCTCCTCTTCCTCCTCCTCCTTTCGAGCTACATTTGTTTCTCCTCCTCCTCCTCATCCTCCTCCTCGTATGCTCCTGTTCCTTAAAGGTAATTTAATTGCTCCTTGTCGCACCCCGAAGCCGGTCGAAAGGGCGGGCCACACGTTTCGTTTGTTTGTTTTTTTATGGCATCGGAAGCCAGAAATTGGCAGTAGTTTCACGCATGGAGGGCGGGCCACTTTCAAGTGCTATTCTCGCCTGAGCGCCGCGCACATTCGTCTTAGAAGTTTGCAAGAGCTTCGCAAATGGATAAAGGGTTCCTTTTTGAACATTTTGTTCTCGTTGCAGCTCCGCGCACATTCGTCTTAAAAGTGTGCATGTGTTTCACGGATAGAGGGTGGCTCTTTCTCAAAATGCGGTTCTCGCCCTAGCGCCGCGCACATTCGTTTTGAGAGTTCGCAGCTATTTAAAGGATTCTCATTGCTAGCGCACCAAACATTGCGTTTTGACACGATGTCGGAATGTCAGGGCGCAACAGACATGTGGATTCGTTGTGTGATTGTCCTTCATGGTACGATTTAGGACAGTCAAGTCGCAACAGTAAAGGTGATTCGCCACGCTGAAGTCCCCGAAATGATGTTCTGGCACAGTTCCGGATTTTCATACGGTTGTCTTCCAAGGAAGCTCTCCCTTCGGTGAAATGAATATTGCAAGGGACGGTGAAGAGGGATCTTGGAGGGAGGAGGGTATCTCGCAATGTCGCTGTTGAGTCTGGTTTTACACTGGACCTCCTCCTCTTTTTCCTCGGTCGGGGACGTCGAAGGGGGGAGGCTTTTCCCTGGTTCTTGGAAGCGTTCTCGCCTCGGTGTACTTTTGCAGCAGCTGCGCCTCGTCGAAAGTTTTCTGGGGCTGCCCGGATCGCCCCGAATTGCCGACACAGGCCCGAATCATGACCCGGGGGAGGATTCGAAGACGAAACAATTGCATAAACATGCGATTTTCGGAGGTCCGCGCGGACTTCTCGGATCGGCGCTGGATCCCCTTTAGCGGTGCCTCTGGCGCCGCCCTTGGCGCGTCCGCGAATGGTCAATGCGTCGCGAGTGGGACCGCGAGCGCGATGTAATTAAAGATGGGTTGTGGCCCCGAAAGCGCAGTAGCATCGTAACTGCACATGTCCACAAGGCAACCCAGAGTTGAGGGATCCCAGCTCTGTGTTGGTAGCACCCCTTTTCTAGCCCGAAAGGGTCACGCGATTTTACTCCGTCCAACCTTGGAAGTTATCTAATGGCTTTCGGATCATCCCGCCACTGTGCGTTGGTTGTGGCAGCCTATTGGATGTTTGTTGGGATCTCGTGGGGGAGCCCCCGGGGGCCTCTTGGATGCAGTTTGGAGGCCTCTAGGGGGCAGTTGTGGGCCCTCCGGCGACTTCTTTTGGGCCTCTTGGGCGCTTCTTGGCGCCTCCTGGGGGCCTCTTGGGGCGGAAGGTTAGGACTGTTGGTTCGTGCCCCCTCTTTGGGGCTCCTTTTGGGGCCGTCTTGGGGCCCCCCTTGGGCCGTCTTGGGCACGTCTTGGGCCGTCTTAGGGCGCATTTAGGCAGTCTTGCAGCCCTCTTGGAGGCATCTTGGGCCGTCTTGGGGTGGTGTTGGGGGCTTCTTGGGCCGTCTTGGAGCGTCGAAAAACCGAAAAGGGGAGAACGCCTACATTCTTCAACTAAAGAACATCAATGAGTTGTACCTCTTGGGGCCCTTCTTGGGAGGCCCACTTGGAGGCCTCTTGTGGCGTCTTGGAGGCCTCTTGGGCCATCTTGAAACCAACTGCGGCGTCTTGGAGCGATCGTTCGGCGACTCGGGGCCATCTTTGGACTCATGAGATGGTTCGGGAGGTCGCTTTTGGCGGGAGGGCACAGCGCAGCGCCCACAGGAGGCGCAGGAAACACCTCAGAATTCACGAGAGGTAGCCCAGACAACCGCGGACAAAAAGCGTAGGAAACGATTGGTCTGGGCCCTTGGGTCCTTGAAGACTTCCACTTCCCGCTGCAGCAGCAGATCAGCGTCTACCTCCTCAGTGCTGCATCAGCCTTGGGGCACTCCACTTCGTGCTAGAGGCATAGTGGCGGATACCATCTGACAGTTTCGCATTGGAGTTGCCGCAGGGTTCAGAAACCTCACTCTCTCAGCCTGGTGGCTCCACAGGGGACCAGCGGATATAGAACGGGCAAGGAGGAGGGAGAGATATGGAGGGAAAGGGGGGAAGCGAGAAAGGGGAACAGGGAGAAGGCAAGCTAGGTGCCCTCACGTCACATTTGTCATCCCATCCCTTCCCACTGTGCTGATCCTTCACTCCCCTTTCCTTCCTCCCATGTCTTCCCAAGGCTGTACCCCTCCCTCCCATCCCTGTCCACTGCGCTATCATGGAAAAGTCAAACAGACCCCATCGTGTCACGCGCAATCTGAAACGAGGAGCTTTGTACACTGGAAGTGGAGATTGCGGATGAGCAGGAGGATGAGCAGGGGGAACGGGAGCAGGACGAGGAAGGAGGAGGACGAGGAGGATCTGCAGCAGCATGAGCAGCACGAGGACGAGGAGGACGAGGAGGAAGGAGGAGGACGAGGAGGAAGGAGGAGGACGAGGAGGAAGGAGGAGGACGAGGAAGGACGAGGAGGAGGGCGAGGAGGAAGGAGGAGGAGGGAGGAGGAGGAAGGAGGAGGAGGAAGAGGAGGAGGAGGAGGAGGAGGAGGAGGAGGATCTGCAGCAGCATGAACAGGCGGCGGAGCCGATAGGGGGAGCGGCAGAGGCGAGCAGAGCGGGAGGGTGCGGGAGAAGCAGCAGGGAGAGCCGAGGGGGACGGAGCAGGGAGAGGCGAGGGGAACGGATCGTCGGCGAGCGAGGGGGGGAAACGAGAAGGAGAAGGTCTTCTCAGAAGTCGGCG